CTTCCATTTAAATAAAACCTTAGCAAAGACTTTTTTTATTTTTTTTTTTTTTACAAGCTAATGCTAAATCTCCCCTTTCAAAATTCAGGTGCTAATCCAACCTCAAATCAACAGCAGATCAAAATAGGTAACGTGTTCATCTAATAATGGGATTATGTTGATTGAGCATGTATAAAATGCAGTTAGCAGTAACAGCTTTCCCTAGATGAGGAATGTAGACAGCTATACCTATCCATGTACAGGAATCCTTCATCCTGCTACGTGTCGACAGGACTTTCTGAGGAGTAGCTAAAAGGCTTTATATCACCCCTTCCATTCTGAAGATGTGAAATATCTGTAGCTGGTTCTTTTATCTTCTGAAAGAAACCCCATCTGTAGAAGTGGGAGAGAGAACACAGGCAACCTCCTCCTGAGACTCGGATGCATACAGATAGATAAAGTAACCTGAACCGTGAATTCACTATTTTCTAGCAAGACGGGAAGGTCTTGCCCGAAAGCAATGAATGGATGAAATGAAGACAGATTTAGGAATTTGCCCTGATATGCCCTGTCCTGCAGGAACAGGATCATCCCCATTCTGCCCCACTCTCTTTGGACACCATTCTGTAACGGCCAATACTAATCTAAACTGGGACTACTGTAGTCCCACTCTCCCTCCTGACCTGAGCTGTAGAGCAATGACCTGCCCGTTGGGCCACACTGGCCCTGAGGCAAGATGGCTCAAGGAGCTCACCTAGCAAATGCTAGCTGGGGCTGGTGGGCAAGGAGAGTTTTCTAACCAGTTTTTGAAGAGCTGCTCTGTCGGTGGTGGGGGAACCCGCTCAACTGCATGGAACGGACTCATGGAATCGGAGAGTATCTGCCAGTGCAAAAGGGCAAGGAGCTGGGCCATGGCTGCTCCGAATGAGATTAGCTTACCACAAAGCTATGAAACCACACACTTAGCCATTTGGGATGTGAAAAAAACAACAGACATTTTTATTCATTGTGAGCCAGACATCTGATGTGCATTTTATCAAGCAGGACTTCAGATGCTTGCTTTGACTGCTGTGCTGGTTGTGGCTGGGGTAGAGTTAATTTTCTTCACAGTAGCTAGTATGGGGCTATGTTTTGGATTTGTGTTGGAAACAGTGTTGATAACACAGGGATGTTTTAGTCACTGCTGAGCAGTGCTGACACAGAGTCAAGGCCTTTTCTGCTCCTCACCCCACCCCACCAGCGAGGAGGCTGGGGGTGCACAAGAAGTTGGGAGGGGACACAGCCGGGACAGCTGACCCCAACTGACCAAAGGGATATTCCATACCATATCACGTCATGCTCAGCATATAAAGCTGGGGGAAGAAGGAGGAAAGGGGAGGACATTCGGAGTGATGGCGTTTGTCTTCCCAAGTAATGGTTACGCGTGATGGAGCCCTGCTTTCCTGGGGATGGCTGAACACCTGCCGGCCCATGGGAAGTAGCGAATGAATTCCTTGTTTTGCTTTGCTTGCGTGCGTGGCTTTTGCTTTACCTGTTAAACTGTCTTTATCTCAACCCACGAGTTTTCTCACTTTTACCCTTCCGATTCTCTCCCCCATCCCACTGGGGGGGGGTAAGCGAGCGGCTGTGTGGGGCTTAGTTGCCAACTGAGGTTAAACCACGACAATTGGTAACAAAGAAATTCCTTTCCAAAGGATGGATAGCATTTGAAAATCTACACTTCTTACAGAGCCCTTTCAAGCTAGTTGCTACAGTCTTTTCAAACTCATCACATGCAAAGCAAGTGGAAACTATTTTAAATGCACGCTTTCAAAAATCTGTACTAAAAAAGATGATCAAGTTCTTTCATGTTGTGTCCAAACAATATAAAATAAGGGCATGTTCTGAGCAAACCTGCTGCCCCTTATTCCTGGAAGGATTTAAGATGCAGTTACCAATCTCTACTCTCACAAATTTATAAGTAATTTATAAGTAATGTGGATTCCTGGGGTCACAAGACATCTTAACTGTACTCCTTATCCTGGGGTAGATGCCATGTTTCTCAGGAGAATCGTAAGGAGAAGAATGGTTCCATTCCAGGCTCATGCCAGCTTTGTCTACTGAAGTAGAGAGCAACCGACTTATCAAAGGGAAACACCAAATTCCAACACCTTGCCTGGATTACATTCACAGACACAGAAAAAAGTATGACAAAGAGCCAGCTTTCTGTTGGATCTTGCACTGATCTTCTAGTATGGATACCATCCACTGGCTAAATAAAAATTTAGAACGTACCCTCATGTGGATAATTAGTATCCTCAGAATATACAGCAGTGTTTATGAGGATCTGGTCCTTCTACAAGGTACCAAGACAGGTTTTGTTTTTATACTGAGATGCAGGGAAGTAAAGAAAAAAGGAATCTCACATAGTATAAACTACCCCTCCAGAAAAGCCTGGGATCCTACAGACTTGTTTTCAGGACTGATAGGTATCTGTTTCTAAACAATATAGCTGAGTTGCATCTTTGAGAACACTGACCCAAATCCACAGGTGTATGTAGGCATCGTCATCCTACATATGCTCCCAAATCTCATTGAAGCAGCAATTACAAACTACAGAAGTTAAACCCTTAAATGCCTTTATGTCAGATAAAGTTAATGATGCACAAAAAACAGCCTCCTTTCAGGCTTCATAAAATGTTTAGCGAGAAGCTAAGATCATGTTATGGCCATGGATCCCAAACCGTGCTCGACGTGTAAGAAGAGGTGACACAGGAAGAATTCTAATGCACTGACCATACAGCAGGAAATGGGGCCAAAGGTGCCTGAGGATGGCAGCGTTCCCCCCCCCCCAATAACTGTAGTTCCTGTAGCACAGAAGAACAATCTTAACAACAAGGAGGATAACACTACTCCAAGGAATAACTTGTTTGAACTGATCTGGCAGACCTGAGAAAGAGTAAGCCTGGGCAGGGCAGTGATGATGGTTCTGCACTCTCCGTAACTCCCTGTGTGGTTAAGCCTTTTCTGCCTGGGACGGCGCATTTCTAGATTCTGCAGGAGACCCAGCAGCATCCTCTTGCTCTTACTGAGATGGGCATTGTAGCCTGTACTGAATATCATACCCCAAAGCTTAAGAAACATTCCTCCTCACTGTCAAGAATAAAAAAACAAAAAATGAGTAAGAGGGAAAAAACACACTTAAATCCTGTTTTCATTTTAAGGTAAGCCTGCCAAAATAAGGTGAAGCTACCAGAAAGATGGGAAACAGATTTTCTAAAACAATAACAACTTTCGTCCTCCACAACTATTTCCATAGAGATAGATTTCAACAGCTGAATTTTTTTGACTAACAAAATGAGAAGAGAAAAGTTAGTTCCCAAACTGTTCCAACAGCAGAAGCCAAAAAGACCATTAGAATCCAGGCAATTAGAAATTGCCTATATCTCTTCAAGCTCTCTAAGTCTGCCTCCTGTTTTAAAAGGCTCAGTTGCCAGACAGCAGAAAACCTTTTTTGAATTCCTGATCTATTTCAAAAACCTATTGCTAGCAACATGCAAACTTTTCTATAAGTATGCAAATCAGAAGCCATTAGGAACACTCCTGGCCCTTGAAGTCCTAACAAGAGCAGCAATAGCTTGTTTCTGATGCAGAAGAATCTGTGAAAATTAATAGCTTCGCCATTTAAAACAAACAAAACCACATAACTAGTTTCAAAATATGCAAGAATACAGCCAATAACATTATTGTTTTCATATCTGACATCAAAGACTGATATAACCTGAACCACTACTCTGATTCACCTGTTCCAGAGGAATGCTCCAGAGAAAAATACAATCTTTAAAGTGAGCTGACAGGATCTTGGTAAGGTGTCTAGCTTTCTCAGTTAGATATCTAGTCTAACTGATTCACTTCTAGTCAAACTAGCAGCTTTTATATGGAAGTGAAAAAAACAATTTGTTACTGAACAGAAGCATGTTCAGTGGTATTCTTAACAATATTAAAATAATTAAAACATTTCATCTTAACAGAATTCATGGTATAACACTGATTTCCATGAAAACAACTGCTTTTTCAAATCCTCTTTTCCTATTATGGGTATTAGCAGCCTTTTCCTCTTAAAGTATTTGGTTATGCTCGAGATTTAAAATGTTTTTTTTAATTTTGAAATCTGTGCTAATTGAAGGATACAGGCCCCAATACCAGTAATATTCTTGCAGTTCAGCAAAAGCAGATTCAGAATTTCTTCTATGTTGCATTGTAATAGAACATTTTGAGATGGTCTAAACTATAGCAGGTGAGAATATTTAGGCAAAAATAAAAGGTAAAAAAAAAAAACAAACCCACGCCACCACTCCTCTGCAGGAAGAGATGTTCTCTAAACAGCACTATTTTAAACTTCAACTTTCAAAATACGACTCACACATCACTAAGGTCTTTCACTGGATTCTGTGTTGTATCTGCTCACTTCTGCTGACCACAAGACATTTTGACTGTGCTCAGCCTCAAAGCTAAGTTTATTTTTCCAATTGTTTCCCACATACGAGTAGCATTACTAACTGAGGAATCTAAAGCCTATTGCTAAAATATAATGACCTCAAATGAAGTAAAAAAAAAAACCCAAAACAAAAAAAAAACCAAAAACACAAACCAAACACACACCATAGCTTGAGTAGATTAAAATCAAATCAAACAAACTCCTGAGTAACTAATTCCAATCCACAAACTAGGCAAAAATGACACAGGCAAGCAAAAATGACACCGAATGACCTTAAGAAGATTTTTGCTTGTTTTGAAGTGACTTTTCCCGTTTCTCTTATGTGACCTTATAATTCTTCTTGTGCCAGCTGTTCCCAGGGCATTCCTTACCAACACAGACTTTGTACTCGGGACATTCAATGCCCAGCGTTAGGAAGTGAGTCTTCATTCCCTCAGTAAACCTTAAAAACATAGCTGGTAGGAAGCGAGAACGTACACGTGTGTTGCACACGCAGGAACACACCAGCACACAGACACACAGGCACACGCTTTCACATTTCTTTTCAGTGTACTGGAAACCCACCGTATCCCCCTGCTTGGATGGGTGTTTTTGGAGAAGCACAAGCATATAGACTAAAATCCTCTGTCTGGAAGCCAGCCCGGTTTAATGAGGGCTCAGATGCACTGCGGTGAATTTTTGGCAATGACCGGGCCAGAAGCTCAATGGAGGCAAGAATCTAAAACAAGTAGAAAATAAGTGATCAAGTCTGTTGTTCCAAAGTTATAACAGCCTCTCAAAACCAAAAAGGCAGAACATCAATTAACTACAGAAAAATATTTATGCACAAATTTAAACAGAAACTTTTAAGACTAGATTACTGCATTGCACTCTGATGTTTATATCCTGAAAAAGGACATTTTGGGAAGAAACTGTCTCATTTTCCCCTTTAAAAGGGCATACCGATTTCCCTCTGTAAGCATAACAAATATAGTTGCCTTTTATTTGCCTCTTTGTTTACACACTAGTACCTATACCTACCATGGCTGCAAATAAACACAGCTTTGGCAGCAGTTTGCTTAATACCATTTACCATAAAGCCAGCAGGGGGAGCCCCTTATTTTTTGAAAATGCTTTGGTTACATTCAAATTAAAAAAAAAAAATAAGGTGTGCCCCCCCAAGCTTTTAGAATCCAAACCTTCCTCAGCAGGCATGATAAATCAAGTTTTGTCACAAAACTATCAGTTTCCCTTCCTAAAGCTCGGGGGAGAGCGAGGAGGGGGGTATAAGATTTCTGAGAACATACACAGCAAGTTCTAATTTGTGTGTCTAACTGCGATTATTAATTTCACTGTCTCCCAGTTGAAACTTTCTCCAACACATAAATGCTTTTCCAACTACACAAGTCATTTTAATACCTGCTTTTTGAATTGAAAATAAACATTTCTAATTAAACGGCACTAACCAGGTACTGAGCCAGTACTTTTATGAAGTCATGGTATAGCACTAATCAAAAGAATTTTGAACTGGCTAGTGAGTTCATAACTGATCTTTATTTTTAATATTTGATTTGTAAGTCCACTTAGAACTAAAGAGGAACCTTTCTCACCTGTGGAAAAAGGGGTCTCTCATCTCTTTTCTTTTTTAAGCATTCTGCCATTAGTCTCTTCATAGCTTTTGGACAGTTGCTCCGTACTTTGCTGAGGTCTGGAGATAGGTATCCTCTTCCCACCATAAAAATTATCTTTATTTAAGGCAAAAAAAGATGAAAGGGGAAGAAGATGAGTCCATAAAATAAACAGTAACGAAAGATGAACATTTTGCTAGACCATTTTAGTCCCAGCAGCAAGTTTTCTGCTCCCAGGAAACGTTATCTGGTATTGAAATTGCCAAGTTTCTTACAGTAATGCTTGCTAACCTATTCAGTGCAGAAAAAAAATTAGATTTTTCCTCCTCCTCCTAAGAGAGATTTATGTGAAACTTGAACACTACTAAATGGTTACCATTTATAGCAATAACCATCTAAGGAACAGTTCTTCGGTGTCAAAAACTGTTACAAAAACAAGAATAAGCAACGCTGTGGCAGGAACAGAATGCCTAAAAATAAATATTCTGTAAAAATAAATATTCTGTTTTATATTATAAGTCAACAGCAGTTCACACTGAAAGGTATTTTAAGAAACACACGGACTTCAGATGTTAAAACCCCTTACCTTTCAAGAATAAATTCCTTCCTATACTTTTCCACCACAAAAGCTTATTCTCGACATCTGACCACCTTCCTTACTCCCCCCCAAAAAAAAACCCAGAAAAGCAAAAGAGAAACTGCCTCTCCTCTGTAAAAGAGGAGACAGACAGGCTTTGTATTTTTACAGTAATTCTTTCAACACAGAAGGCTTATATTTCACCTAAGGATAAAACTTAAGCATAAAACAAAGAAAAACTAATAGAAAGCAGGAAAATAAAGCATAAATATGGTTAATGTTCTCTTGGATATATAAAAAACCCCCATCAAACATCATCATGTCAAGCCAAGGTCAAATGCAATGTGGTTTGAGTACTGCAGTTGCACTGACACTAAAAAGCCCTTTCAAACTAGCTAATCAAAGATCCATTCACGCTGCACCAGATAATCACTACCTTTCCTGAATGCTCAGACAGACCCAGCAGGTGTATCATACCTTGTATTTAATGAAGTGTAACTATTCCATATCTTGACACTGGCAAAGAAAACCCAACAGAAAAAAACCACATCTCAAGCAAGCTATACATGTTATTTATACTAACACAATCCCAGTCCTTTTTCAACTTTCTGATTCAGGCGCATCTGTGTTGGCATCAAGGAGTATAAAACTCCCATATGGTTTCTTTAGAAATCCCCATGTGCCAGAGCAGCATTTCATAGTAAAGACTTGTCTGCCCCGTCCCTTACCTCTGCTGCAATGAGACTTATCATCATCTCGGAGTTACTCTTTTCTAAATAATTACACTGAAGTTGAAATTATTCAAAATTTGTTATTATTTAAGTTTCCAATACTATCTTTACAAATAATATAGGGATTAAACTTTTATTATAACTAGAGAAAAGAGAGTATCACTACAAGAACAGTCCTAGTCTGTCTAGAAAAATCTGTTAAGGTGAAACGCCCTTAGGTGTAACAAGAACGATGCTTTGCTCACCAAGATCCTTAGTTATGTCATAGTAGCTGATGTAGATGCACCAACACAGAGTGAGCGATATTTATGTCTCTTCAGACAATAGACTGGGAGTGACAAAACTCAAGACATTAGATCACATTTCATGTGTTGGCTTCACTTGCAATTTAAAAATTTGTTTCAGCGCTCAATTGTGAGCACCCACAGCACTGGGTCCATCTTTCAAATCTCAAAAGGTAAAAACAAGACAGTGCCCGAATACTGCTTTTAGAAGTAATCTGGACAGGGAATGTCCAGGAATCTGGACATTTCCCTTCTTTCAAAAGGCAAAAAAAAAAAAAAATAAAAAAAAATAAAAAAAGGAGTCACTCCAAATTTGATGAATTGGGATGAAGTGTTCTGACAAATATGGAAGCAGCCTTATAAAATGGCATTCACAGATGAACGTTGCTATGGTTGCAATTCTCAAGTACTGACAGTGAAAAAACAAGGGATGCGGACACAGATACAACATAAATATATCACCGCCCAGACACAGACTAGTTTACACCAAAGATCTTGATGCATAGATACTATTTTCAGATTAGACAGAGAAATAATGAATCAGATATGCCTTCACAAACGTGCCTATCCTATGGAGATATACAACAGGCGTGTGGTATCATTAGACTTAAGGAATATTTGTTCACAATTAAGTAATCTTACAGGATTCGCACACTCTGGAAAGTCATATACTCCATCAAGCAGTATTTGAGAAATGCTGATATCCTGAAATTCAATTAGACGGTGCATGCATTTCTCAAGATTGAAATGAATATAAAACATTCAGCAAGATGATTGCTGTTCCATTTTGTCAATCCTGCTGCTGAACTATTGTTCAATGCAAGGAGAGTGAGGGGGGGGGGGGGCGGGGAGGAATAAAGGAACATACGGAGGATCATTTCGCCTTTGCAGAACTATTCTAAACTAGATCACTATTAAGTAACCTGCTCTCTCCCTAATAAGTATCCTGGCAACCAGCTCAGAAGCAGAAAATCTATACTTAAAGTCAAAAAGAACCAAAAAAACCCTCAAGAGAAGTAAGTAAATTGGCACTATGTGGCTGAGGCAGATCTAGAAAATGTAGAAATGTAATCTCACAACATCAGAATCAGAAACACAAATCAAACACACAAAACATCAGAACTTGCACTTCACAAGGCTGAATCAATCTCTGTTTCAGGTCGGAGTTGACTGAACTCAGTCCCTTCCCTTACCTGGTCCCTGTTGTTGATGTTTGAGTATGGTAACTGTCCAGTCATCAATTCATAAAGAACAATCCCAAACGCATACACATCTGACTGAAAACTATATGGGTTTTTATCTTGCATCCTAATAACTTCCGGTGCCTGTACAATAAAAGGAAAGAATTAGTTTTTATTTCACCACGCCGGGCTGCACCTCACATACCAGGAACAAAACATGGACTTGTCCAGAGTATAACAGGTGCAAGGCCCACTCTTGTCTTCAGATGTTACCGGGTCCTAACACAGAGTGGATGTTGACATGAATCTCAAAATCCATTGGTTCATTTTAGCTTGGTGATCCCTTTATTCCTCTACAACAGAACAAAATGACCTTGTCCGTGCTGAGAAGCTATCTTGAAACGAGAATTAAAACAACACTGAAAATAACGCCAACTAACAGAGCCTTCATTTTTTGCAGGGAGAAAAGGAGAAAGTGGAGTTGCACGGGAGGTTGTAACGATGCCTCTTATTAAGACTTAAGCAAGTTGTACAAGCTCTTGAGAATAACCATGCTTGAATACTTAGGAGCATCTTACTTTTGGCTGAGCTAGATCCTCTGCTCCTTTGCAGGATGGTTTCCATGGCTTTTCTCACCTTCTCCTCAACCTTGGATTAATCATACCCTTTTTCCTTAGCCACCATTTTCTTTTCAGTTTAAACCTCAGAATAAGGGATGAAGACACTAAAGGTTTTTTTGCTGACTACTGGAAAACACACGCTTAAAGAAGAACTGGAAAGCGTTCATTTAGTAGTTCGTATTACTGCTTATCTTCTCCAGCTTAAGACAGCTTGTATATGTCAGTGTGCTGGAGGGACAGTCTTGGAAACTTTGGCCAAAGGCAATTAAATTTGTTGAAACACACACCCCACTTCCCCCTTGCTTACCATCCATAGAATAGATCCAGACAACTGTTCAAACTGATGGGATCCGCTCCATCGTGATTTCACTGTAGCTAGACCAAAATCACCTATTTTTACTGTGAGGTCTTCATGAAGAAAAATATCTAAGGGGGAAATGTTAAGGGAAAACAAACAAGCGGTACTGGTCCTGTCCTACAAAAACAATAAACAGCTACAAATTTGCAACATTAGACATAACAGTTTTAACCATCCACCACCACTGAAGAAGGTTTTCATATAATACAGGTTGTAAGCAGCCAGCACGATGAATTATGGTACTTAAGGGCTACATAAGTAATAACCGGGCCAGTGCTGAAAAGACCATGGCCCAGGTGGCTTTCTTTAAATGCCAAGTACGAGAAAAGCTGAAAATATTCCATGAGTGAACTGGTGTAATCTTTCATTACATGCAGAAACCAAATGATGCAAAAATCTTTGTGATACCACAACAAAACTTGCTAAGTTATTGCAATCACATCAATAGACATAGTAAGTATTCCTTACTTTGGTACCAGTGACATTGCCCCTTCTCAACAAAACTTCAACTCAGCATATATTCACACATGAACAGCTTTTCACATCAGTAAGTTCATTTCTGGCAGAAAACCCAAAAAACAACAGAATGCTGTCACGTTCCACAATCACATCTCTGGGAAAGGATACTATTACTCTTGAGGTCTCTGTGGATGATTGACTTGGCATGCAAATAACTGCAAAGAAACACCATAGATTAGGTGGGTTAAATGATATTTCACTAATCAACAACTCAAAATTCACTGTATTACTGAAACATAAATTCTACAGATAGTCAAACTGCACTTATTTATCAAGGTGGTAAAACTTCAGTTATCCATGACAGTTCCTGCAACAGGCACAGGAAAAAAACACAAAAATAAAATAAAGCGTAGATTTCCAGCTCAAACCTGATACTACTGAAGAAAGAAATAACCATTATGCACCAGCTTCTGCTTTTCAGTTCTAACTCAATATTCAGAAAAAAAATAAAAGAACTTCAGTAGTTTTTGAAGTGCCATTCAGTGCTGCAGGTTCTGCCTCCCAGCCTTAATGGTGACTGTCAAGACAGTGTGGGCTAGGCACAGCTTTAGGTAAGGTGTTTCTAAATTGCGGGAGCTAAATGTGCTTCCCAGTCTCAGTGTGTACTCAAGTACGCTGACTGCTCTTTAGTGTGGGACTGGAAAAAAGATCCCCTGATTGCAGACTGGATAAATACATTGCAGAGAACACAGAGGACAGCACTTGCCCCACAGCACAGATACAGCCTAAATTAGGCAACTAGTCTCCCATGGCTCTTTGTTTAGTCAATGGGATTGGCACAAACGTGCTGGAAAAGCCCCAATTTATGTCTCTGCTTTGAATCATGCTCATAAAACAGCTTCTGCATCTCCACTACCTACAGAGGGAGCCTGAGGAGATGAGCAGGCTGACAGAAGGCTGAGGCTGGTTGCTGCAAACACCTCCCCACCGCTTGACTGAAAACGTAACAGAATACTTAGTAGAAAAATGGCACAATTAACTGCAATCATCATAGTGGTTTTCCAGCTGGAGGGCGATTTCTCTGATCTTACATCAGTGTTCTGATTTTGACACACAATATTGGGCTAGTTTTGTAAATTCTAACTCACTCAATTGCCCCCTATGGGAGTAAGGATTACTTACAGTCCTTAGAACAAAATAGGTATGTTTTCTTCAAATGCTGAAATCTAGTACTTAGAGAGCTACAATACTTATAAGAAAAGGAGAAAAAAAGAAAAAAATCGATTCTTTTTGCTAACAGGGCTGTCTGCCTTTTACATTATCTTACAGGATTCTGTCCTTTCACTCACAGGGTGTTTCTTTTTAAACTATGTTTTACCTCCTACCATAAGACTATCTGCACTGTGAAGATCGTAAAGCCTGGAACGGAAATCTTTGCTCACAAGATGGAAAGTTTAACTACACCGTAATTATCTTTATTCTACTTTCTAAGACTATATTTCCTTGATGATTTCTAGTTCCCTATGTTCCAAAAAAAGAACACGAAGTCTATTTTACTAATCAAAATAATAAACACTTCACCAAATGCTTTTATCATCAAGGCAAGACCCAGGGCTTGGCGAAGTGGGTAGATAGCTGGCCTTATTTGCCAATGCCAGTCAGAGTGTGAAGGGGATAAGTAAACATTGCCCCAACACTCGTTTGCAAACAAGTAATACGATACTTACTCCATGCCTTGTGCAGTCTGTCGTGCAATATCAATTAGTTTGATCATTTCAAATTTGGTCTCAATGATGTGTAGATGGTGATATAAGCTGGACCCCTCACACCATTGTGTAACAATAGCCAACTGGGGTTTTGTTGAATAACCCATGAAAAGCAGGATATTCACATGTCGTGTTTTCCTGTTGGAAAAAAAAAAATCAGGAGGAAATGAGGCGGATCAGGAAATCAGGAGAAACCCAGGCAGATCTATCACAGTCTAAATATAGATTTCCAAACAGAAGTTGTTGGGTCAATCTCAGCTTTTGCTAAGATAAGATGATAACCTGTTGCTAGATTCAGTTTAATGCATTATTCCAGCAGTTAGCCTTTCTTATCATCATGATGTAGAGTAGCTATTCTGGGGTAAGCACCACTTCCTCTTGCTTTTGCAAGCAACCCAGCACAGGACCGCTCAGAAGACGCTGTTACCACTAGGTCCTCTGGGACAGGAATCGTTTGCAGGCAGGTCTGCTTTTGTGTAACCCCAGTCCAGCTATAAGATGTTGCTGCCCATAAGGAGGACATCCAAAATGAAATTCCAGTCTCAAAGGCTTCCAGGAAGGACAACCCTTTTGTTCAGAAACCAACACCACACTTCCTTGACAAGGCTTCAGTTTTTCTTAGTGCTTTATTTGACAAGAATTTTGTACTCTCTATGGAGCCAGCATACAAGAAAGGATGGAAACAGGTATGAAAACTGTACCTCAGTAAGGTTATGATATTAACTGGTTTCCAAACAGCACTGGGAAGAGATTGGAGTTCACCACAGAGATTTGGCCAGATTAAATCAAACCTACTTCAAAGACAGAGCAACTCCAGACAGAAAAACTTCACAACGAACAATGCAGAGAGGATTATCTCAGTAGCTATCCCAGTAGATTCAAGGCCTGAAAGAATCTACTGATACACTGTGAAATCTGAAAGATTCTCCTCACCCTCCAGGACAAGTCAATCACATTCCTATTGTCATCAAATGGACATGAAGAACTAGATACCTCCAAACATACCAATGAGATATTACAAAGATGAGGCACCTAAGAATTCTGGAGTATTTCCTAGCTTTCCCAGGGGCTGGGGAAAAATAAAGGCAATCTTCTTCAAACACAGCTTGGTACTGAAGGCAGTCAGCTCACTGTTGATGAAACCTGACAGACCAAGCTTAAAACCTGTGGTAGCTTCTTAAATCTATGCTGCTACTGAAGATGGCAGAGCTCTTTATGTTTTCTTATATTAAAAAAATAAGATGGGAGCCTAGAGGATGAACCCCTTTGTCCTCTCAGCAATGCAGACTAGGACAGTTCTACTCTGTGTGACTGTGCCTTTTTCAGGTTCAAGGATTTGCCAAGTGATGCTGAGAGTAACTGCTGAGTGAACAAAAAATAAGCAGTTTCTTCCAAATCCTACCTCAAAGCTAAGAAAGTAATGATGACGCATAATGGAAAAGGCACAACTACAGGTAAATCTGGCTCATCTGGGTCAAAGAATAGGATAACTGACTGTTTGCTGTAAGTGCTGAAACTATCAACAACAGAGAAAGGCTGGACTCCAGCTATGGGACTGCCAACAGAAATCTGGACTAGGTATGAAATACAAGATTTTATTTATTTAATTCAGTTCTCCTGAGCAGGTATGTCAAAAATATGCAGAGATATCCAAAGTAGCATAACCCAGAAAACCTCTACTTCCACAGCTGTGGGCTTAGAGTTTTCAGAACTAACATTTCCTGGGGAAAAAGGCTGACCATCCCCTTTTTCACCATGTAGCTTATTGGGGATGCTCCTCCAGCACAGGCACTCAGCTCAACACATCAGTTTTCCAGAGGCAAAAACCTTCTTTCTATTTTTTTTTCTTAAAACAGAATTATGCTCAAGACCGCTCAAGATTGTACCTGGATGCTAATGGTCTTCCCCAATAAATATTCTATTGTATCATGTTGATGCATCCTCTTTTAAGAACTGAACCCAAGACAAATACTTCCTCTGAGAAAGTACAAGCAGTAGACATGAGAAAAGGAAATCAAGAAGTGACTTTATGAGAAATACATTTAAAAAACCTCAAAGAGAAGTCAATGCTACTGAACAGAAACTATTAAACAATGGATAATACGGGCAGTGCTGTAGCTCAAACCCAAGTAGTCATACTCTCCTTCAATCTCAAAATGTGGATGAGAGGAAAGGCCGGCCTGCGGTTCACACTTAGGCTTGAGTGTGCCCTGGGATAGTGCAATAGCAAAATCCAGTCCTGTCTTGAGTGTTTGGACATATGTATATTCACAACATAGGTGTATAGACAAAAACATACAGGGAAAGGAAGAACTAGCAGTGGATACAAAGAAGTATTTTAAAATGGCAAGTTATATTTTCTGCCCGAAGTATCATCATGGAGGAATAAGAGTAACGTGTTCTAATGGAAATCTAAAATTCAATGATTAATGAAGCATAAATCTACACACATTATTTTTATGCTATTAAAAATATTCTTACCTGAGCACTCCTACTTCATTTTTAAAAGCCTGTAACTGTTGAGGTGTGGGTGCCGTAACATTCAACATTTTCACTGCCACATCACCTTTAAAATAGCAATTTTTAATAAGTGCCATTGATACATATTCCTCTATTCAGAAAATGCTATATAGAGCATCAGAAATATTGAGATGTCTATTTTCTAGCTTTTATGAAATAAACCACTACAATATTAAAATAAGTAAATATTCTGTAAAATGTATAAACACCATTCTTATTTTACTCTGAGAAATCCTAGCCAAGCCAAAGCTTTCCAAATACACATTTGAAATCCTCCTTCATCAAGATGGATACTTCAGCCTTTCTAGTAACTATGTTTCATCTTTACCCTAATTACTTAATTCAGAAGAACATGCAAGAGTTGAGTTTCTAAACAGTTTGAAGTTCTAACATTACCTATAATTAGCACACTAATTATTAATTTAAAAATCGTCTCTATGGCCCGTCAATGGACTCTCGCCGGTATGTCCATGTCTCTCTTGTACTGAGGAGCCCAGAACTGGACCCAGCACTCCAGGTGTGGCCTCACCAGTGCTGAGTAGAAGGGAAGGGTCACCTCGCTTGACCTGCTGGCAGTGCTTTGCCTAATGCAGCCCAGGATATCATTAGCCTTCTTTGTGGCATGGGCAAACTGCTGGCTCATGTTCAACTTGGTGTCCACCAGAATCCCCAGGCGCTTTTCTGCGAAGCTGCTTGCCAGCTGGGTGACCCCCAGCAGGCAATGTTACTTGCTTAAGAATAACTGTTTGCCATGATGGCCACATACCATGCCACTTTCCTTTGTAGACTGTTCCAAATGATCCAGATCCTATCCTTTGTCCAACTGTGATCTGTCCATCTGGTATCTCCCAATCATCACTTGAATCCCGCCGACCAAGGGTTTTCTTTATATATTTATATGCATAAACAATAAAAAGGAAGAAAGCAAGTGCATTAATGTCTGTGAAAACAGCTCTTTTGTTAAAGATCTGGTATCAGCATTTCATACTATTAAAGTCCAAAAAGGAGTTTCTTTTTCAGATATTGCATTTGACTTTTCAAGCCAGCCATACACAAAACCTCAGCACACAGGTATACTAAATTATTTCCTGGCATGAAATATTTGCCACAGGTTTCTGGCAGTATTAAAACCAGTAAATATTAAGAAACTCGCACCAAAAAGAAAGACCCATTTATTTTTCAATTCTTACTCAATCATAATGCTAAATTATGAATTTTAAAAAATGCAGACTTTTTATGTATTGTTACATTTGAGAATCACTAGAGAACTTTCAAAGTTCATGAATCATGGTGAGAAAAATTAAGCTGTTATTTGAAGGGAAATGGGCATTATAATATGAAGCACACCAAGATGTTTGGGTGCAATAGAGTAAAAGTGAGTACAGCCAATCATTTAAATGATCTATGTATCAGTCCCACAATTTCAATATTCTATTATTTATTGTTTTAAAGTCCTTGATCATTACCATACTCATCTTCAAAATAATTCAGAAGGCTTTGATGAAAGAAAAGTAAGAGGAACATGGTTGTGTAGTATTTCTATACTATGAATATACCATACTACGAATGAAAATAGCTGATCTTTCCCTTACCATTCTATTTCTGTCTTCTGAGGATGAGGATGATTTCCTTTCCCGTTGGGGTCCTGGTGATTTCTGTAACGCTTTCACATTGGTGAGTGACCCAGGCAAAGAGGCAGGAGGCGTTGCAGACAAACCTGCAGTTGAACCTAAATTTCAGAAACAGGACAATTTTATCTATAAGAAGTCAGCTTACAAGAATGTATTGATATTAGGTGCAAGAATTGTGTTTAAGATGCAGTGTCTCCAAACATCAATGTAAATGTTAAGAGGGAACAAACGTATACTAGGAATATTGTCCTAATATTAGATTAGTGCAAGTCTTAGATTTCAGGAAGAGACAAGTCTATAGCAAACATCCCTGTATACCAGATAGTCCCTAGTCTCTTGTTCATGAATTATCAGAAGCACAATGCCTCTTTAAATACAAAAAACCAAAACAAACCAAAACAAACTATTTTTTAATTCCACCAGTTTCTTTGAGAAGAAAAGTAGTAGCATTTTAGTTAGCAGCAGCTACCTCTCAGATTTCTTGTAGTTAACCTTTTAGGGACCCAATAAATAGGTGAAATACTGTACTTTGGAATCAAAATAGACTAAATGCAAAAAATTGAAATGTTTTCTAGTTGAGTCTCCAAGTGCCACCTGAAAACCATTTGGCTGTTTTAAAGCTATCTGTTAGCAGAGAGCTCTTATTTAAAAGTAAATATTAGACTGTAGAAAGGATTAAAAAATAACAAGTACTTTAGCTAGCTATTTGAAGCATATTTTATTAAGTACAAAAAGAACAGTACATCTGTAGCCTATATGTTATCTAAACAAATCTATGCAGGAAGATGTCACTAACAGAGCTGTGTTTCAGAGCCCCAATGGCTCTTTACAAATAGAGCACTTCAACTAGACACTGCTTTTTAAAATACACCATAATTATTCGTAACAAGGTTATGCTGACCCTCCCATTGCAAAGGACATAAAATAGGGTCAACTGTTAATTAAATTCATGCTGCTCTGCTAAACAATGTATGTCATTGTACAAGACCTCCAACATTCCAACGCCTTCTCTCACATCAGTGCTCTGGGAACTGGTAGAAGACAATAATCCTCCTCATACTCCTTCAGAAGCCCCCTTCTTACCAAAAAAGTATCTCCTAATGCCAACTTGAGTTCAAAATTTGACTTTGTGACTTTTAAAAACTGTTGCTTGAGTTCAGTCACTCAGTGCATGCTAATTTATCAGACTATATATATCCATCACTGCCTGTCCTCACTGAGCTAAAATCCATACATTTAGATGTGGAAGCACAAAATAATGACATACCAACACATCAAAAATGGGACGCAGCATCCATAAACTTTGTCCCACATGCTGAAGCAACAATAATGATGCATACTAGGCATCCCAACTATATTTACAAGCAGCTGGAAGCCAGTGACCTGGAGGATGGACTTTTGTTCATATTCATGTTACGGTCACTATACTGTCATATATTTATTATATTATTTGTCTGAAATCACACATATATGGAATTAAATGATGTTCCCAGAACACGAGCAATTTTGCAAAAGTTTACTGGGTTACAGACTTTCTCTGTAATAGCAAAGCTCTACTAGAATGCGTTTTCTTTAGAGGTAACTAAAGTCTCCTACTTAAATTTTAATACCACGATATAGAAACACTAGCATAATATTCACCCTTCACCAAAAACGCTCACAGCGCATGGTAGGACAGTATAGTTAATCTGTTCATTAAAATACCACATGGCCTGTTTTCCAAGTTATTAGAGTAGAATACTTCAGATAATGTTGGACTTAAGTCATTAGCTTGGACTCTGAAGCTGTACATAACGTATTCCATTCTGTAGCCAGTTTGCTTGTTGGGAACACCTGTCTTCTTACAAAGACTTCTGGAAGAACTTTACAAGTTCATAAGGTGAGCTGCTCTTGATATATTCTGAAACAAAAGTCTTTGAAACAGCCAAGATGGTAGCATTTGAAAACCACACTACGTGCACTGAACTACCCATTTCTACATGTATACGTATAGACACAACTCTTTACATTTCATGCTATTACTCAATAGTTGGTTTCTCCAGCATATGAAATCCCACACAGATTTGGGGGATTTTGTACAATACAACAACAGATCCATTGACAGCTTTAGGCCTGAATTACCCCTGGAGTCAATGACGTGAAAATGGAAGAGTCTTTTTTTACATGGTACAGGACAGAAACAAATACTGTTTCACTGTAAATTTACTAACTAAATAAAAACTACATGGTCTAAACCATCTAGGGCCCCAATGCGGTATCAATAGCACATTCTCAAAATGAAGTGTTTGTTGAAAGTTGACATGACACATTACTTGATAAGGTTGAGACCTAACAAGATATCAATGGAAATGTTTGTAATTCACATCTGATTTCCTAGGTTACTTTTCAAAGCAAAGAATATTAAATACAGAAAACTGTTAAAGCACTGAACTGACTTAAACTGAACAGTCAAGGAAATTCTAAGTTAAGGATGTCACTTTGTCTTTAAAATCACTGCAATGCAATCCAAGGACCTTTGTTCAGAAAAATTATGTTAAGATCCACATAAAAACCTCAACTATGAAATTCCTTGCTTTTGAAGATTTAAGTCAGACTTTATTTATAGTCATTTTCAAGCGTGTAAAGGTGAGAGTGGGTATGTGTGAAAAGCACATTCAAAGCATTCCAGCCAGGCCAAGCAAAAAACAGAGGTGTTCTGATAAACTCACACACTTACATACACACGGTGTGAGGGTGAGGCACAAACAGCATCTGTGGTTTTACTTATTTTGTTTGGGTGAAAACAAGAAAGAAGAGCCCAACTACCTCTGAACACTGGGCCAGGCTCAAAATCAAACACTATTTCACTGGGGACAGAATGAAGGAGGGGACTGGGAGTCCGGGATTGGTATTTCCGAAGACAGCGCATCAGCTGGTTCAAAGGGGCTGTTAGAGAGAAAGAGACGGGCAGGCAGAGACAGAAAGACAGACACATAGAAGAAATGAAAGAAGTCATGGGAAATAACTAGGATGCTTTGACTCCTATTCACAGATTGCTTCTGTACTTTGAAGGAAAAAAAAAGTCAATTACTAATACCACTGTTCCAGGACTGGGAATAGCCAATTGTTTTCAGATGCCAAGCAGACAGTTTATGATCAAAAGTTAAAACCAACATGATAGCACAACATTTAAATGCTGGACAAAATGGGCAAAACTGTGGAGAGCCACACCTATCAACACATACAAAAAGAGCTAAAACTGGCAGCTTTAAATTAGTAGGCTTGCAGAATTAAAGGAAATTTCTTTTTGAAAAGCGTTCTATTGCTGGCATGAAGAAAAACAGCTCCATCAAACACAACGCAGTAGGTAGGTACCATCCTACCAACTACCAGATTTGGATGGGAGAAAAAGTCAGTGAGAGCCCACAGTACAAAACCTTAGAGATCAGAATAGAGTGCACTAAGGTAATTCAGACTTTACTTATGGCTGAAGCAAGTTATAATTAGTAGGAGACGATTGTGTTAATGATTTGGAGTTGGAAAAACTGTCAAATGCCTGCCCTACTTACTGTTTCTTTATTTCTATTATTTCTATATTATTATTATATTCGTAAGAATAAATACAGCACGTAAGAAGCCCTCTCAGGACCTTGACAGCCAGCGGGAGAAGTGACTTAACAGGCCCGTGCATAACGTGTGAAGAAAAATAAGTCTTCTGGCACTAGTTCTGACTCAACTATGAATGAGGGCTGTTTGTTACTGAAGGAAACAAAAAGACCTGGCTTTAGCGTACGGTCCTAACAACCTGGTTCCAAGAGTAGCACAGGCATGCAGTACAGCAAAGCAGCATCTTCAGCAGGGGTAGAGGGGGAGAAGAACCGGAGTATTTCATGCTGCTTTAGGATGCAGCAGTTCATATGGAAGGTCCATGTACCGTGTCGATGGTTTTCAATGAAAACCCCCGTTGTTTCCGTGGGTGGAAAGGTAACAACAGGCATAAAAATCTTTGAGAGAGAGTTGGGAAATTGTAGCATATCTGTGTGCAGCCATGTGAGTGAATGAGTGCGTGCGTGTGAGAGCAAAAAAGTGATGGTGCAAGACCATTTTAAAACTAAAAAACTAGATACCACTTCAAAACTTTTTCTCCTTCTGTCTCCCCCACTCCCAGAATGACCGGCAAATGACTCAAACCTTTGTCAGACAAATATTAATTTCATGGACAAGCAAATGCAAATTCATTTTTTGTTCTAGTCATATTTTCCTCTGTGCCTGTGTTTTGTAGGAGGAAGTAGAACAAAGGGAAGGGACAGAGCGGTTGTGTAATTAAATGTAGCACAGTAGCTAGTTTAAACACTACTTACCTCCCTCTCCTCGTAAACCTTGGTCTCTAATCAAGTCCTATAAATAAAAAAAAAAATTGTGTGCAATTTAGGTATTATCATTTACATTCCATAATCGAGATCGATCAAATTGAGAATCCATAACCTCATATATTGTCCATGAAATAAAAGTTGTTTCCTATCCTGGCTTACTAATAGCAGCAACTCCAAAGAACTATTTATAACAACTACTAAACTTTTCAAAATTAGTTGCTTTAAAACAGCATCTCTCAGTAGTAAAGTGAAATGTACATCACCCAAAATAGATGCTGACATGAAAATATTGATTTAAACACTCAGTTGGCCAAAATGCATGAAGAAATATCGAACCAAATGTTCTAGTTACAGTGTTTGTGGCACAAATTATTTGAACTGTCATATCAGAAGCTGGGACACCAATTTCCTGTACTGAGGTACATCAGTCAAATGAGTTCTGCTTCGTTTTTTCTTGTAACAAAGCACCTCATTTGCATAGCCAGGCGCACTCTGTTCTTCTCAGAAATGACTAACTGCAAAAGGTTTCCTTCACTTGCAATCCACTGTGAACTGAGAGTACCTTTTACAACCTATCCAGACTAAAAGCAAACTACTCTAAGGATTTTCTAAACTGAAGAAAATCAGAAAATTCTACCAGTTTCCCTCTGTATGTCCATTTTCATCATCAAACTTTTTTTTTTTTTTTGGTTACACCATTACTTTATTCCTTTATACACCTGCACTGCTGCCGAAAGCACTGGTCCTGCCTCTCAGCTGCACCGCTGCCATATACCATATGCAAATGTCTACGCGGCCACACTCTTAATACTCAGCTAACACTTCACCTTTCACTCAGCTCACACGCAAAACAGATTTTGTGCCTCGGTGTCCAGGCAGACTTCAAGACTGCTCACCTGACAAATGACTAATTTCTAGAGAGTAGACTTAAGGGTAAAATACAAGCTGTATGTGTTAGCAAAATTAGAAAGAGGTTGTTGTGACCAGCATTTTGAAAGGTCCTAGCTGGCCTTATACCTAATATCAACCATTACTACTATTTACGATTCAGCATCCAGAAATTTCAAAAAAAATGTGGAAAACAAGTTAAGCGTAGCAGTTTCTGAACAATCCAAAAGAATGCTCAGAACAATATATACTGGGCTTTTGAAATCCTAAGGAACATTCAGTAAATCAGCTTACCGCAATAATTTAATCTTCTTCAATGCCAGAAATATTACTTGCATTACAAATACTAGAAATCCCTATCTTGCATGTAAAGAAATATGCTTAACACATATAATGGTTTGCAAGAGTGGTTACTGGCTTTCATATTCTTAATGCTGTGGTACAGCTAGCGGCACGAGCCTTGGGACTAACGACAAAAAAAAAAAAAAGTTGTTTGTGGTAGAATGTTGCTTTGCAAATGAAAGGACAGGGCTGTCAAAAGGCACTTTCTCCTTCTGGAGAATGGGTTATTTGCGTTCTTACAGCTCTCAAGAGCAAAACGGTCTTACGTGGGATCTATGAAGATTCCACCAAGGATTAGCTTAGAAACACAGCACTCGTGTACACGATAAATTTAACGCACTGATATTCATAAGGGAAACATCAAATCTACTATTCCTGATCCAAACGTTATTAATACTTACCTCTATATTGACTGGCTCGATTGTATTGATGTGAACATTGGGAGCTGAAGAGGATCGGTCGCGTTGCCCAAATTGATTCCGATGGTCTTCATCTGCTGGTCGAAGGGGCTGTGGGATTGGAATGGATTTTGAAGGAGAAGGACTAGGGAGAATTGGTGGTCTGAGAAACAAAGTCAAGGAAAAAGAGGATTTAGGTCTACAAATGGCTTCAAATACTGCATAGTGGGTGTGGTAAGTCCTTTTCAACTATAATAATACGTACATTAAAAAAACTGATCTAAAGGCCTGCATAAAAACAATATATAATGAACAATCTCTACTCCCCTATGATCAATTGCAACAACTCTCTGCTGCACAAACTACCTAATTACATGGCTGTGAAGTGTTCTGAGTTAAAACAGAACAAAAACCCCTAACATACCATACTAAACTAGTAATAATAAAACCTGATCTGAAAAATTCATGTAGCCCAACATGCACTGCAGATAGCAAGATACTCCGCAGTTTCCTCACTTCAGACTTAATGCAGTACACTCTTTTTAATGGCAAACCATTGAGAACTAAAAATGCTTAACATCTCACATCAACATTACAGTCAGAAGATGTCACAAAAGTTGTATGGATGGGATTATTGTTCAACAAAGAAAAACTGAAAATTACATACTGGTCACTCAAGATAATTGATTAATATTATGGCCAATGTAATACGAATTATTGATACTAAAAATAAACATATCACCTCTTAACCTCAACCTTTTAAGAAATAACTTTGAATAGTGCAACATTTCAAATGTTATTTACAGTGCTACAGTTAGGCAATGCAATAGATTTGACTTGAAAGATAAGTGTTCAGACTATCCAGACAAGTTTTCTGAAGAAATACAAATGCTGCCAGTCATAAATGCAGATAAAGTCTTTAATTTGGTACCATGAATCATATATTTAAAAACTAAAACATCTAAATGCTTGCTTTTTCATTTGTAAGAAGGCAGAATGTCACTACTTTGGTTATCCATTTATTTTAAGTACAATAAATTGGCATTTATCTCTTAACAGTGACTGACCTCGACTTGGGTAAGTCTAACAACTCAGTTTAATGGATATAAGGCAAAAGGTCAATGAGAAACATTTGCCACCTTTGCCAAAGAAAACTTTATGTTAAAATATACATGGTATCTGACAACAAGGTTTTTAGAACTTACAGAAAACACAACTCCTAAGAGAAGAGTCGAGTCCTACAGCCATTCAGTTACTCGTGGGTTAGTTACCATGCCCACAGGGAGAAGCTTCAGAAATAAACCATGCAGCAGCATATAGCAGCAATAGGTCCTGGTGCCGCCTCCTGTAAGCGAACGCTCCTTGGCCTCTCCAAAGATCTTTAGGGGCAACTAACACTTTCAAGAGGATCTCTTGACATTTTTTCAGAAACAGGTCTGCTTTAAAGACCCTACCTTTCATTGAAGAGTTTATACAGTTTGGCAGTGATCCCAGAACTCAGTGCTATCTGTATCCTAAGCACCTGTCATCTTTTCCTTCCTGGCCGACAGTGTCACAATTGAGAATGGCAAAACAGAGCCCTTGCGAATTGATTCAAACAACAGTCTAATAAGTCTTGTAATAAAATACTTAAGATTATGTTTGGGAAGTGGGGAGGGGGAAGAATAGGTAGGGGGTTTAACCCTGCTTAACTTATTTTAAAAATAGTTACCTATTGTCACATGACAGAATACAAATATTGGGAAGATACTGGGAAGCAATGAACTGAAACTGCCAATAGACAAATCTCTGAGGAAGGGCCTTGAACAGCCCAGCATTTCAGAAGATCCTCAGAATTTCAGAAACATTTTTTAAATGCAATTGATGTACATATACATAAGCTAAAGTTTTCATTCATTACTAACAAGCGCCTTCGGGTAAAATCTTTTCTATTGTCGATGAGGAAGTTTTGAACTCCTGAACATTTTTGTAAGGAAATCATGCAACTAGAACCCACATCAGGAGACGGGGACACTGCAGAGATACAAGTGCAGGACTTGGTTGACATTCTAAGGCACTGTATTTTCATGTTAAGGCAAGCGTGTCAGATGCTGCACAGAAAGATTTCACAAGAAAAGCCTAAAAAGTGTCTCAGCCAGGCCAGACCTGTCGTTGTCGGGATAGCTAACTCCTGCTCAAACTTCCTGAGAGTTCTCAGTAGTAATGAAATTAAGGGAAATGTGTAACAACAAACATCAGATCATTGCACTAGAAGTGACTGTAAGCTCTGCCACACGACGAGAACAGAAGCAATCAGATTTTCTGTGATCGTAAGCCAGCCAAGGGAGAGAAAACCAAATTGCAGAAATATTGTTCCAATTACATGCTCCTTTGAGTCATAAATGGTCATCTGCTAAGGGAATCTGCAAATACTTCTGTATTTCTGGTCACAGGTCATCGTGCCCGTCATGTTGCTAGCACAGATAGCATGCTATGTCATACAATGTTTGAAAACAATTTGAATAGCTTTTTCTACTCATTAAGTTCTAACTGGGAGAAGTTCAGATCTTTAGAAAACAATTACAGGCTGATAAAGAACTGCCTTTTTTGGAGTTTCTAAACTATTACTGGGAGGATCTCTGGGCTTTAGACACCAAAGAATCCAGAGACGGGAATCTCATAAGCAGTTAGCCGCACACTCCATACAATCAGGATTTCATTAATGGGTGTCCTTGGGACACTTACAAAAAGGTAGGTTATTTCGCTAAATGGGAATTTTGCTTGAAAAAGGTAACTAGTGAAGAGAAAGACAAGTGGTTTGCTAGCCAAGATGGCCTACTGAGATCACAAGCTCAGAAGAGATTACCACCAGCCTCTGCCTGTGTGCGGCAAAAGCTGTACCTTGATCTGCATCAAGGTCTTGAACTACAGAAAACACGTCACCACAAAGAATGCAGCAATCCTCTTAGCTACCAAAAGCCTGTTCTTACAGTATTCCTAAATTTTAATTACTCCAGGAGGGTAGAAGGGACACTGAAGCAAAAAGGACCAGCCATCATCATTTGGAAAAGAGTGACATTGTCTATTCCAGGCGAGTTACAAAACTAGTTCTGTAGGCTATGCAAACATAGTGCCAGCAAACATATTGCCAAAAAAAAAAAAAAAAAGTCAAGAGGACCAGAACACAACTGCTGCAAAGAACTGTTTACTGTGGCATACATGTATAGCAGGCTGGGGCTTAAAGGAGCAGCAGTTTAAATACCAGAATCCAAGTTTCTGTTGCTCCTGTGGCCTTTGTGAGCAGTTACAAGCCAACCTGCTAGCTAGAGGAGACCTTCTACAAATAAGGTCAATATTCTGAGATATTAGAGAGGTTATACCACCTCATCTTGCACACTTTCTTCCAGCCTCTTAGATGTGGGCATTCCTTTAACAAACGATTCTCAGCTTCCCAGGCAACAAGCTGATGGAGTTCTCAAATCTTGATTTAACATGTTGTAACCTTTTCTGGCAGTATGACAGAACATGCTTTTTCCTTGAACCATGTATTTGGGATAAGCACATTGTTCCCTCCATTTTTATCAAGACAAAACAGAAAGAGGTTTTGTCAGGAGACGAGTAGTTGCAGACAGATGTAGATTTTTACCCTTTGTCAATCACAGCAAGTGCCAATGTGTCCACAGATTTACTATTCTACAACATTGGGTCCATGGGAAAGACGAAAGTGCCCATACTTGCTATATTATATATAAACAATTTTATAAAATCATATGCAGTACCTCTACCGGATCTTAGAACTTGCAATGATACAAGTTAGTTCACTTCACAAATACAAAAAAAAAAATTTAATACAGATTTTCCTCAATTTCCTTTAATTCACCAATGTGATGTTTCATATATGTAAGAACTGGTCTACTCAGGAAAGATTTTTCTTAAAAAAGGTTTGTTTGGGCTTCAAGATTTTTGCTTGGATTTTTATTTTGCTGTAGTGAGGCAAATACTTAAACTGAAAATTCACATTCACCTAGCTTTGGTTACAGGGTGTGTGCCACTTCCCTTTTAAAATGACAGTATCTCTGCTGGAGTGAGATTTTACTTCTCCCCTCCCAGCCTGAACAAGTGCATCTCAGTTTAGCCAGAGGGCTCAGCGTAGTACACACTATTCACCTGGTAGACTGCATACTCATACCCAAGCCAAACCTATTGCAAGCTAAAATGCGTACATACCAAGGCTCTTTTTTTTTTTGTTTACACCAGCATAAGATTGGCTTTGTTTTTTGCTACTGCTGTTAATGAAGAATGCAGTGCACTTCCATTTTCAAGCAGTTTCTAAGGACTGCTAAGGATCTGGGATACAATGGTATTTCAGCCACACTAGCAAGCAGGTAAACTGCAAATTCTGGAGGCCAAACATGTTCTAATTTAATTATTGTGGTACTCCACAAATATTGCCAGAAAACAAAGTAATTTTTTTCTCTCCCCACTTCTGCAGCCTGGAAATAGTCAATAATCCCAAGTCAAATGTTGATTTGGAGAAAAGGATAGCAGTACAAGTTTGTAACTACAAGCTAGAGAAGATCACACTCTTACAGCATCCTGTGAAGTCAGCCTAAAAGCATCATGGGACAGATCTGTACCAGTTGTAACTTCATACGGATTAGTGCATTCTTCTATACCATGATAACTTGTTTTCATCCATGTTGGCTTGTGGGTGAAAAACAACTGCCAGGCTTATCACAATGGTGTGCATTTATACTGGCCTTTGGGCCCAGATCAAAGCTTAGCAATGCTTTCCTAAAATTTCTGATAGCTCCATACACCAGGGGCTATTCAAGAGAACCCACACAGTTGTCATTAGTCCTCCAAACCAGGTTTCAGTTCACTAGCATGTTTTTGCAAGTACAGTTTTGGGGAACAAGAGGTCTCCCCCACCTGTTGTACAGACTAAAGATTATTTTTCTGAAGATTCTGATACCAGGCATTTTACGCTCAGCAAGAATGCATATCAAGTTGGATATTGTAGGAAGTTTGCTAACATTTACATGGAGTCGTCTGGAAAAGGTCTGGTGCCAGAATTTTTAGAGGAAAAGTTCATCATAATTTTATGCAATAAAACACAAAGCTTTTGCTCACTTAAACACATGGGGATCTAAATGGCGCTGTAGTACTAAATACAATATTGTAAGGCCGTGTCTTTGTTTCCTTGGCTCTTCAGAAGCTTTTCTAGACATTTAAATATCTTTGTCTGAGGCAGAATGATCAGTGAACATTTGGAAGACAGAAAGGAAAGCCAGAGGTGTTTAATCACAGGCTGGAGCCTGCTCTAAGGCAGGGACTGGCAAGCTTCCAAGAATGGTGCACCAGACAGTCCCCCTTTCTTCCTCAAATTTAGAAGATTAAGCATGTTGGGAAATGTTGTTTTTCAAAGAGCCAAGATGTTGCCAACCTGCTTACTAGCAGTGTTCTGCCTCAAGGAAAGCAGATGCTTTCACTTTATATCGAGTCTAACCTGCCTCTGTGCTATTCAAAGTCTGACCATGCGCCCCCTTACCACCCACTCCACAGGTTACTTACCCTGCCATAGTATCTGCCTCATGAGTTTGCTGAGTTTTGCCCAACATCACAACATCTGAGAGAATAGATGGAAGTTGAAAAAGACAACTTTGGAATATTTTGAATAGCTAATCTCTCCCCTTTTCGTATATCTGTAAGATCCAGGGAACTGGGTTCACAGGAATTCTGTGCTCATATTTTACGAGCAAAGATACAGAAGAAACTTTATGATAGTGCAATGAATGAAATGAATACAATGTATTATATACAGTTTGCATACTTCAATTTTATTGCAAATGGCTATTATTAGGGAGACCTACACTTTTAATAATTCTTTCCATTTAAGTGCAGATTATAACTAAAATGACTGCTTTGGCATAACAGGATAGTGCAAACTGAAAGAACTAAAATGGGACAGAAGACCTAATGTGGAGGCTGGACACATCTTTATAAGGGGTTCAGAAATGTGCAAGTGGGACCATATGTGCGCCCTTATCCTACAGTAGAATGTCTGGAGGGACTGCCTACGGCTTACAGTTGGAAGAATGAAAGGCTACAGGACTGGATTGCTTTAGGATGTTACACATGAGCAAAGTGAAACAAAGTTCTCCAGCATGTTTAGCAGCTTTTGCATTATGTCCAATGGTCTTTTCCTTTATGTCCCTTTCTCTTTCCAACTTCTCCATTTGATCCCTTGACAATTTCTCAGCATGTCACACACGCCTTTGCTCTTGAGCTTGTCTTGCAACACAAACTCTTCCTTTCTTTGGGCACTTTGCCTGCAGCTGGAATCCCTTCACAAGGCTAAAGATGAAGAAGGATGTTTGCCTTCTCTTTCCTCAGGTTTACCAAACGATTATTAACATCCCTTCCTCTGTGGGCTGTGCCATGCAAGATGCTAGGAGAACAGAGAAATCAAAGGAACAATTATTAAACTAGTAAGTGTTAATAAAGCGCTAGTTCCTCATATTTTCAATCCCATTGCCCAACTCTCAAATTTCAATCCCTTACTCTCTTCCCAGACAAGATAATCTCAAATGTCAGACCTTTTTTTTTTATTCCAGTTGAACTGTTGTCCCATATTGTAGCAGTACCCTTTAACAAAACTGTGGGTAAGTATATGTTTTTATAGAAAAGGCCAGCTTTTTTTTTTTTTACTCTAAAAAAAATTCAGAGGAATTAATATTTCCACAATTATGCCTTTAAAAAGCAGAGAAGTATTATTAAAGAAAGGCAAAAGGATAACCGGAGAAAGGTTTGGACATTGCTATATGCTCATACAATAGCATCTGAGCTGCTTCTGGAAAGGAAATACTACAAACACAGATGCTTGGGGAAAACTGCATGACTAACATGCGTACTACTTATGAACACCAGCTGATAATCATAAACCATTTTCAAAATAAACACAATTTTGAAGGCATGATGTATGCCTTTTTTTTTTTTTGGTTTAACAATGAAGTGTACAGCAAGGCAAAAAGCAAAAAGTAGAAAGCTAGAAACCTTATACAGCTCCTGCAACCACAAAAAATTACAGATGCAACACTTAGGAAAAGCTCCTTAACCTCAACTGGCAAGTATATTTAAATGTTAACATTTTTATATATGTGAAGTTAAAAACCTTAAGGCATCAACCAGCTTTGGTCTGAGTTTTTCCTTTCAGTTTTTACATCACAAAACTAAGACTGCCTGAAGTAGTGCATGTATCGATCAAGATAATCCATCCTGTTATATCCGCACAAACTGGTAAGAAAGCACAAGTGTGAGGCAGAGGCAATTGAAAAGTAGGAAAATTTAGCATATATCAGTATTAGGATTGGGGCTATATAGTGCCTTTGGCATCTGCAGGTGTTTAACACAGTTGGTATGAACAAGCTACTTCACAGATTAATAGTTCTAGCCTGGTTATAATTTCAGCATGTACCATGGTACATGCTTAACTTCAAGAACCACAGCAGCAGCCTCGTCCACAATCTGCTGTACTAACATCCACTACCTGGAAAAGGCACTTCCAAATTTACTTGAAACTGCACAAAATAGTACAAATAAGAACATCATCTCTCTTTGTACTTACCAAATGAGGTTTGCTCTGCAGGACTGTCAATCTATTTTCCTGGGAGGCATCATATTTGATCTTTCATAAAATAGTCTTGGCTGTCCAGGGAATTTCTCTTCTAGTCAGAGTCCACACGTGCCTGTGTAGCTTCCAGTTGTGTTTCTGCTTTAGTTTGGGCACAATGCTCACTATTCCAAGAGAGCCCCTCTGCCAAATTCAGTTCATCTCCACGCAGCACATATGTCCTAGGAATGTTTTTCTGAAGGCTTTTGTATTTGGTGTTCTTAATAAATCTGCATCAGGTTTCTTGATTTTGATACACATCCTTGAGTTACTTTTTCCTGGAGATTTGTTCAACTATCTAGTGCTGGGTGGTGTCAGTGATCTCTTAGCTACTGGGATCATAATCTAAATACGATCACTTATCTCTTCACAGAGAGAGGGTCCAGAATCTTTGTTGGAAACGCAGGGGATGGAGGCTGCGGTCAGTTTTAGAAGTCTAATTTTACAAAACCTGGATCTGCAGCAAACAGATGCTATTGGTATATCCCAACATCTAAATAGGAGGAAGACAGCTGGTCTGGAGGATACTAAAGTAATGTGTATGTGGAAAAGCTACTGAAGCAGTATTATGAACCTGGAATTGGCATCTGTTCACATCAATCTTATAGTGGTGCAGCTTATTCTGAAACAGAGGTATGTCACTTCAAGGCAAATAAATTGTAGTTTGAGAACACAAACTAAAAGAACTTGTGAGGATATAGTTTTGGTTTGTATTAATTTTAAGTATAAAATCTTTCCAGTTTAGACCAGGTCTAAGCTACCATGTAGAAGAAATCAGTTTAACAGGTAAGGCCCCAATTCTACAGACACACGTTTATCTTAAGTTCATTACTAATTTATATCATTCATGTGAATGAAAACATTCACTTCTTTAAAGTTAAGCACAGGTGGATATATTTGCGTGACAAGCCAGATTACAAAAGTGTAGAGAGAGTTGCAAAGCAGTATTTTGAGTGTTTCTAAGCGTACAGTACTGAAATGTTATGTTATTA